TAGCCTGGATGTTGGTGTTGGACACGTTGTCAAGCCCGAGTAATTGGTTCAGCCTGTCCTGGGCTCGGCTCAAACTTGGTGCGTCATGCTGCTTTTGCCGCTATAAAGCACTCAAAGCAGACTGAAATATGTCCTGTGGAAAGGTTACGGGTGAGTTTAGCTGCACACGACTGAGGTTTAATGAGAAAATACGTAATCCATCCCCACCTCTGATATAAAACAACCAATCATTTTATCAGTTATGGATCCCACAAAAGGATTAATCATGTATTATAGCTGGGCGTATACTAATGACACTTTAAAATAGTGCTTTGCTGTGTTTTTTCAGATGTCGTACTATTTTATGTAACAGTTGAAATCCTTTCTTTCCTCCGTGTTATGAAATGGCTTATGGTGCACATCTGTCAGCACAGACAGTGATCTGTCTTCAATAGTTGTTAAATAAAAACACATATGGGCAACAATCACAGTTTATGCCACAAATCATTTTGTGAACTTTTTCAAACATCACATGGTGACCCCTGGTGGCAGCATTTGGGAATTACACTCCAGATGTCATGTTTCCACTGACTGAAAGTTTGGTGTAATTTCTGCCAAATGCTTTTTCTCCTTGATGGGGAATTAAAGGTATTTTGAGCACTTTGAAAAGCAGAATGAACAACTGTCTGTTAGCAGGTGTCTTGTTGTGATGCACTATTTGAGACACCTTCAATCAATGCTCATAAATGCTTATGATCTATGGCAAAGATGTCAAACTCATTCTGCAAGCCAACTTTTGTTCCAAAGAAATTTTTGAGTTTAACTACACATTTAATCCCTAAGATATCTTTATATGAGGGGAAAACTGGCTGATTTCAATAGTATGACTTGGTTTTTCTACATGATAAAGAAATGCTGCTGTAGCAACTTAATGAATTCTTGTACTTAAATTGTTAGAAATGTTAGAAAGAAAAAAAAAGTGTAAAACTGCAGGAAAAGTCCCCGACTGTCCTGTAAATACAAAACAAAAAAGTGTTGTTAATTCACAGAAAATGTCTCTTTTTTTGTTTTGTTTTTTAAACTGTGGATTGTAAAACTGAAATTTCTATAGTAGATAGTGTAAAACGTATGAAAACACAGTTAAAAGTACTACATTTTCACCCTTCTTCACATTTTCCAAAGCTGTCCAGTGAGTCGGACAGGAGTCTGCTGGGTCAGTTCTGGCCCCGGGCCTCATGTCTGTCACCCCTGATCTATGTGGAGATAATTTACTGCCTAACATCTAATTATTCTGTGCTTCGGAATAATGAAATATATCACTCAAATTATTTCTCAGTGGTACGGCTGCTGCACAGGAGCTGTGCATACTGGGTCAGACGTCACTGTGCTGGTAAACTGCAGCTGCCGGTTTCTTCACATGTAACGAGGAAACACCTGGAGCTTTAAGGAGAATGAGCCGTTGGCATGTTTTTCAAGCTTTAACCACACTTTGAACAAACAAACATATTATTCAGGTTGCTCATACGCAAAGATAAAGGTGGAAGCAAATACAAAACAAATGGTAAAACACCCCACCTTAACTCTAGAAATGGGTTACTAGAGCTCCAATTTCTCAGGCATATACCCAAGGAACACTAATGCAGGATAAAAAGAGCATGTATGCAAATAATCTTCCCCTCCTAATGGGTGCGTTTCACTTTACAGTGATATTACTTATTACTCCAAAAATAGTCATTGAGGCTGTTAGGTCTGTTGGTCATTGTGGTGCAGGAAACCCTTCAAAATAGATACAAATTTAAAACTGCTCTGTGCATATGAACACTTGAGAGCTGAAACTCAGATTAGGGTGAGTTATTTGTAGCATGTTTTGCTTTAGATGGAAATACGTAATACATATAATACAATATGCCTACACAGATTATTTCAGCCACAAATGCATACTAAAGAGCCCTTTCTGCCAAACCAAAAGTAATTTGTAATCAACCACCACAAAAGCTGCTCAGTCATGCTACTAATAAGGTGAAATGCAACCGGTGTTTCAGGCTCTGGCCCCTGTACCTGCAGTAAATGTTGATAAGTGGAGGCCATTTTTGTTTTCCTTGTTTGTTGTTAACCGCCGGTCATGGAACAAAGCCCTGGTAAATGAATAGTGTTATATTACAACTCTCGAGCTCACGGTATAATCAGTGGGGTTAGAGACCACTAGTCTGAAATTCAGCTCAACCGGCCAGGCTAGCAGGTCTCCAAAACTAGCAAGTAGCATAAATTAGCCTGAAATCAGCAGAATACATCAGTGCTTACAAAACAGACTTTTTATTAAATAAAAATCATGCGAAAGGGGATGCAAGACAGCAATAATCAGGAAAAGTTGCTCTTTCAATTAGGAGTGGGTGGCCCTTAAAAGGACCGTTGGGTGTTAAGAGTTATTAGCTAGCAAGCTAATACTCCTGTGACTGAGAGGAGGCCTTCTTTCCCGCTTTGCCGGAGCTCGGTGCAGACTGGCCGGTCTTCTTGGGCAGCAGGACGGCCTGGATGTTGGGCAGGACGCCTCCCTGTGCGATGGTCACGCCACCGAGGAGTTTGTTCAGCTCCTCGTCGTTGCGTACAGCTAGCTGGAGGTGGCGAGGGATGATACGAGTCTTCTTGTTGTCTCTGGCAGCATTGCCGGCCAACTCCAGGATCTCAGCGGTGAGGTACTCCAGGACGGCGGCCAGGTAAACTGGGGCCCCGGCGCCAACTCTTTCTGCGTAGTTTCCCTTGCGGAGAAGACGATGGACACGGCCGACGGGGAACTGCAGACCGGCGCGAGAGCTACGGGTCTTAGCCTTGGCACGTGCCTTTGCTCCAGTTTTACCTCTTCCAGACATTGTTGGTTATTTAAACAGTTCTTCGGAATCGTACCACAGCAGTCGTCGGTTTGCTAGTGATGAAGAAGAAATCGCAGCCTCTATATAAACCTCACGCTTTGTCCCGCCCTAACCTGCCATTGGGTTTTGGAATAAAAGTGCTGTTATCTGATTGGCCCTGAGAGAAACGTCGTGAGAGAAAATTGATTACTATTGGTGGATCTCTCCTGGTTTGTAAACAATCACGATGGAGCCTAAAAGGAAGACGCACGGTCGATTGGCTGTTACTGTTACTGCTTTCTGTCAGTGGGTCAAAAGTAAAAAAGGAGGAGCCAGAAAGCCAATCGATTATCTTCCCTCCAACTTTAAATTTTTTGGCGCGCAGACCAGCTCTGCGGTAAAAGTTAAATGGAACATTTAACCCTCTGATGTGTGTGTATTGGAAGCCAAGCTTCGTACGCGCTGACCAGTGCAAAAACCTGGACGAAGTATGACCACGTGGCAAATAACATCGAAGATCTGTGTGCCAAAATGATTAAACTTTACACCAAAATATAAAGCTGTTTTTAACTAATAATTTAACTGAAGTAAAAAAAAATACAACATTATTGTGTACCAACAGGAAATGTTTCTAGATTTACTCATTGGTCAAATGTTCCCACCCGTCCATGCATGTAATAGTTATACATACACATTTATTTCGACTAGTGTGTCTACATAAGTGAGTTTCAAGTAGACCTTTTTGTATTCCAATTGTAATACCTATTCAGAATTCCTTAAATATTTCCCCTAACAAGAATCTTATTAATAAATAAATAAATCTAATACTAAACAAAAGCCAAATATTTTTAGCAATAAAAACTAAACTGAAAACCAAACCGCTTCAAAAAGAAGCTACCCTTATTTTAAAGAATAAAATGCTGTAAAGGGGCTCTCATCTTATGACCATCGGTATGGAGAGGCCTGCAAGACTTTGGAAAACTACAGGACACCATCCCCCACTGCATCCAAACAAAGACCTATTGACCTGAGTGCCTTCTACTGCAGGTCTGAGAGGAAATGTGCTCTTCTCAAACTTAACAACAGCAGTCCCCATCTTTATCATCCTCAGATATTTAAACTAAGAACAGGTTTAATAGCCATACAGTATGTGAGTGCCTTACTCTGCACTATGTGTCCCGTGTATAGTTTGGTTTATATGCCATGCACGTATCTGGTCAGACCTTTTTTAGCTAATCATAGCTGGAACCACATTTCTTTTGTGTACTTTTTCAAGTAAATTTGATTTTGATGAAAACATATAACTGAGAGCCAGCAAGCAGCATTAGCAGACTAAGCAATTACTTGGGGCCCCCACGCTAGCAGGCAACCCCCACCCACCAAGACCGCATGAAATGTCACACAAGACAAGCTAATCGATGTATATTTTGTGTGTGTGAAATATCAATAGTAATTGTAGAAGTGAAAGTTACATATTGTTACTAATATATTAGAAGACTGGTGCCTTAATGCCATTGGTTTAATCATTTTCACTGTAAGAGCTGGGTAAGATACTAAACCCAAGTTGTTCTTCGATGTATTCACATGTGTCTCCAACAGTTTAAATTCTGTTCATCTGGACGTAGCGTTTTCAGTGGGAGAAACATTTCATCACTCATCCAAGTGACTTCTTCAGTCTCAGCTAACTGAAGATTTCCCCAATCTTATAAACCAGGGGTGTCAAACTCAAATACGCAGTGGGCCAAAATTCAAAAATGGAACAAAGTCGCGGGCTAACATTAATATTTATTGAAAAAAAAATCTTCCTCCAGATATAAGAATGAATCTTTTCTTATGGACTCAAATAAGTTTTGCTGGAAAACTGAATATGGAACAAGCAAAGCTTAATACTAAACAATATATATATTAGCTGTATAATACCAGTGGGCCAGCTCTAGTAGTAATTTGGTATTGCTTTGTGGGCCAAATGTAATTAGGCTGCGGGCCAAATTTGGCAGAGTTTGACACCTATGTTATAAACAGTACATCTGCATAATGACTGAAACCAGCCCACTGAAGGAACAATGGGCTGTGAGGTCAGTTCCTTCATCATTATTATGCAAATTCTCATGACCATTGATCAACAACCACTGATTAAAGCCCGCTGATCAATGGCCATGGTTACCATTCACAAAGAGTTGGGGATAACACAGGTATGTCTACTAGGAGGCTGAAGGGTAGCACTATATATTTATAAACAATCAAAAACAACAATTTATTTCCAATTTGTATGGAATTTATTTCTGTAAAGGTGGTGTTTTAGGTCTGATTGAAGGACTGATGTGATGGTAAGGTGTCCGCTGCTGCGCTTTGAAGATTGGTAGGCTTTTTCTTTTTTAAATTTTCACAAGAATTGCTACTTCCCCTAGAGTTTTGGCCACTCCAACAATCAGAAGATTTCCCTATGAGCAAGCATTTAGCGACAGTGGGAAGGAAAAACTCCCTTTAAAAAGGAAGAAACCTTCAACAGAGCCAGGCTCAGGAAGGGACAGCCCTCTGCCACGACTGGTTGGGGTGGGGGGAGTGAAAATTTAAAAAAAAGAAGCCAAAGTGATCATTTTTGGAGCAGCTTAATTAATTTTCATGTAATTTGCTGTTAATATCCTTTTCCAACCCCAGTTTGTGTTTTTATCACTTTTGTCCAGGGTGGAAGATGCCATGCTGGAGATTGACTCTGTATGGTTTTTCATGTTGATACTTGGGAACCTGTTGGAGAGGCCAGGGTTGAAAAAGGGATGCCGGAGAACCTGAGAGGGTGTTATCCGCTGGTGTGCATCCAAGGCCAACATCTCTTTAATTAGGCTGACAAATAAGCGTTGGCCATCTTCTGGTCCTCGTCTAAACAGCATTATTTGTTCGAGGTCATCCAGACGTGTCAGTTTTATGTATCTTGTCTCCAAAGATTCATATCCTGTCTCGTATTTAAATTGTTGAGCGGTCTTAAATGTCCAGCGTTGTTGGTTGTAGTTGTCTTTTGTGAAATAGTCTTCAGTGTACACGCCAGGATCGAGAACATGATCTGGCGGCTGACCCTGAGTCTCTATGATGAATTTCAAAACATCATAATATTTTTTTCCAGGGTAGAGTGGCACCCCTGTAACAAGCTCCACAGCCACCAGCCCCAGAGACCACATGTCACATGCTTCGTTATAAGGAAGGCCAAGCATAACCTCAGGTGCACTATAACCAACCGTCCCCACACGGTCACCAGGCATCACTGCAGACGCAGGACATGCGAGGCCAAAGTCTATAAGTCTGACTTTGACTGGAGACTCATAGCGATTTACAACCATGATGTTTCCAGGTTTGAGGTCAGCGTGCACTATTCCCAAAGAACCCAGGTGGGACAGAGCATTTGTGAGTTGACCTAAAATTGGCCTGACTTCGCTTATGGGGAGACGCCGGTTATTCGGGTCCCCTATGTAGTCCCACAGGCATTGGTCTAGGAGTTCAAATTTCAGGCAAACACGCTCTCTGTCAAGGAAAAAGCCGTTCCATTGAACAATGTTGGCGGCATCTGGATCCAACCTTCTCAGCTGCTCCAGGATGAAAATTTCCAGTTTTGCCTGTTGCAGAATATCAGGGTCCTTCTTGTTCACCTTAATAGCCACAGCTCGGTTGGTCATGGTATCACGGCATTTGGCTACAACACCAAAGCCCCCCTTCTCCGAGGAAAGCCTCTACCTTGTAGTGGTTTCCCAAAATGCTCCCTTCAACTATTTCAAGCTCATCTGAGCTGAAGGAGGGCTGGCTGACGTGTGGACGAATACTTGCTGAGAAAATTCAACCGAGTTTTGAAAACTGCAGTTGATTTTCTCTGATTTCTTGCATTTCAAGTTTGATGGGTGCTGAAAGACCACAGGGTTTTGTGGTCTTTCAGCACTCATGCCAATGCAAGGGGAACTCTTAGGGTTGAAAAAGGGATGCCGGAGAACTTCCGACAGTGTTATGCGCTGGTTTGCATCCAAGGCCAACATCTGTTTAATTAAGCTTACAAACAAACGTTGGCCATTTTCAGGTCCTCTTCTAAACATCATTTTAGAAGACAAAATCAACAATGACTTAGCAGGGGTGTCAAACTCAAATACACAGTGGGCCAAAATTCAAAACTGGAACAAAGTCGCGGGCTAACATTAATATTTATTGAAAAAAAAATCTTCCTCCAGATATAAGAATGAATCTTTTCTTATGGACTCAAACAAGTTTTGCTGGAAAACTGAATATGGAACAAGCAAAGCTTAATACTAAACAATATATATATTAGCTGTATAATACCGGTAGGCCAGCTCTAATAGTAATTTGGTATGGCTTTGCGGGTCAAACGTAATTAGGCTGCGGGCCAGAGTTTGACACCTATGTTATAAACAGTACATCTGCATAATGACTGAAACCAGCCCACTGAAGGAACAATGGGCTGTGAGGTCAGTTCCTTCATCATTATTATGCAAATTCTCATGACCATTGATCAACAACCACTGATTAAAGCCCACTGATCAATGGCCATGGTTACCATTCACAGAGAGTTGGGGAATGGCTGCAATTATAGCATTATACGGTGGTGAAAGATGTACCGTTAGGCCCCTCAATTCAGAGATGGTCTTTCTCTGTTCACGTAAATGGCCTCCTTGACTCCCCGCTCAAACCAGCGCTCCTTCCTGTCCAGGATGGTTACGTACTCATCATTGAAAGAGGGTCCACTGGCCTGTAGGTGTAAATAGACTGCAGAGTCCTGGCCTGACCAGGTAGCTCTTCCGTGTGGTGCCATCCACTTCGCCAGCGGTTGTTTGGCAATCTTCCTGGCACTTAACAGCGTACACTATGTTACTCTCTACACTATGTCGGGGAACCCGATCCTTGGGGTGGACCAATTTTTGGCGCAGCGTGTTTTAGGGTTTAAAAGTCACAGAAGTAAGTCCCCAAAAACTATTGGGCCCCTTCTGGTGTCACTAGTCAGCGAAGACAATGAAATGCAGGGAAGAGCCTCACGAAAGCAAACTTATTAGTACATGTAAGTTAATTGCAGGTACAGAAAGTTATGTTCTTTTAATGTTACGCTGTAGCCCATGCGCCTTCACAGACCTGCAAGTGCATCATAAAAAGGAACCTTTTATGGGTTATTGAAAATACAATGAACGGACTCAGGTACAAAGATGATGCTTAAAAAATAATTTATTTGCAATAAATTAAATATTTAAAATATAACAGAAGTCATCAATTTTGCAGCCACTTTTTGTTTCACAATACAGCCACAAATCTTTATTCATAACGTTTGCTTTATGTGCCTTTAGACGGTGAAGAGGCTTTGTTCTCTTCTTCAGCATTTCGAAATCCTTTTATTAAAAAAAATTATAATTTCAAAAAACAACCATTTATTAAGTTTGGTTTTTCTGAAGTCTCATAGTTAATGCAGTCAGTTAAAAGATTATTTTCATGTTTTCAGACAAGACTCAATTGGCCCTAAAACCTATGTACAACTTCACATACTGGATCTATTTGCCTTCAAAGTATGCAAATGCTTTCTTAAAACCTGTGGCTGCTAGTAGATTTCATTAAAACCCTGAGTACCGTATTTCAACTCTAACCCACACCGAGTCCTCTTGCTTTGCCTGAGCGCAGCATTAGTGAACACTGAGACACACCAATCTCCTTTTTTAAATATAAACTGCAGAAATATTTTAGCGTGACGTACATATATCTAAAAAATATTACATTATCATAACAATCCCAAATGTTCACACAGGAAATGCTTTGCTATATTAGTTCATTATTAGGAACTAATCACATGGCAGCATTCTCTGCAAACGATTTCACCCGCAACCCTTTTGAGGCATTTAACACAACATGTCCTGCACAGTAATGATAGCTGTTACAACAATGAATTCTGTAGAAGCACGAGAAGAGGCGAGCACGCCTGATCGCGTTGCTGTTTTCCCCCGACAGAAGACTGCGAGACTTTCAAAAGTCTAAAAATCACCTTCTGGCTTGATAAATAAGGTGGCTGGTTAGATTTTCAAAAGCAAAGTGAAGATATGATACTCCAGAGAAAGCACCTTTGTCAAAGTAAAAGTACAATATGATCTTTTCAGGTTTTTATATAAAATACAACATTTAACATTATTCTAAAACCAATGTCGAAGCAATCATGGATGGACATTATAGCTAGATCAAGACATTTTTTTTAAACTTACTTAAACTATGTGTTGAAAATTACATTTGTATGGAAAACACACCTTAATGTCTCTATATTATAGTGTAATGCAGCTATGATGATTAGTTGTAGGGGGTTCAAATAAATAGCACTTGTTTAATGAGTCCAACATATTAATAAATTACACTTTAACAACCAGCACATTTTTACATCTGCTGTTAAAAAAAATAAAAAGTCAAAAGTGCAACCAAGAGCATAGTGGCATTTTACATCATCAAAATGTTTTGGAGCGTTTTCACCACCAGTGCCAGTCCAACAATCCCAGAAGCGTGGAACATTTCTTTGTAGCTATTCCCCTCTCCTCCACCGAGCAGCAGATTTCTCCTCAAATTTAACAACAATTCAGAGTCAGCGATGTGATTAAATGAGACTTCTGTCCTGAAAGTGCAATAATTTCTATCCAGAGGGGAGCCCTCCCAGAGGTATCCTCCTTTAAAGCTGTGCAGTTGACAACCCACCTGGGGCGCTCAGCCTGTCAAAGACCGTGCTGAAGTGTAGTGATAACAGAGAACGCTCTCAGGATGACTCGTGTCCATGTCTGCTGGCCTCGAGAATTAGTTATCCAGTGCGCTTGCTCCTCCGTTGGCGGCCTTGCCTTTTGATTTGCCAGAAGAGCGGAAGGAGAAACGTTTGATGAGGCGCCGGGAGAAGCTGCCAGACTTTTTACGGCTGATGTTTGGTGCGGCGGTGAAGTTATTGCCCAAGTTGGAGATGTCTTCGTGGGACTGGCTGAGGCAGGACTCTTTCTCTCGATGTCTTCTGCGGAAAAGCAGCTTCGTCCCGCTCTGCAAAAAGCCCACTGCAGGAAACACATCGTGGAGTTACTTCTAGTTTCACAAATGAATTCAATTATTTCACAACATACACGACAAACAATCCATGCATTTTTGCGACAGGCTGCTGATAACAAAGTGCCTGAAGACATCATCTAAAACTGGCTCTCTAAGTTCTCTGTCATGTGTAGACACAGCACTGACAAGAGTTTGGAGCCTTTTTTTGCTTGAGCAATTCATAGGTCAGTGTAACGTAGCTTACCAAACTAAAAGAAAAAAAACATTCCTCTGAAAACAGTCAAGAACTGGACTGAAAATGAGTGAAGAAGCAGAAAACGTCCAAAGAAAACTTTGAAAGACCTTCAGAAAGGTCGTATAACTATTGTTAAAAAGCACTTTGAAAATAAAGTCTGGCTCCTTGGAAGCAAAATATAAAGAGATGTGGGGTGGCTTAGTTTACTTATTACTGCTTCTCCCACTCCTCTGCCTCACCATTCAAATTTAATTATATTGCATGAAAAAAATAAATTAAATTACAAACAAACACATGTTAGTTTGGCTTTGTACATGCTGAAGTATGGCCTCTAGGGGGCAGCAGAGGAACTGACTGTGGTAAATCTGTGAATTGAACCTGAAGTCCTGATGTTACCTAAGGCTATGAAATATTTGTTTGCATATAAAATACACTGTGCCGTTATTAATATAAAAAAACAGTTAGACATGAAAATTAAATCTAAAAGCAAAACGTCTTTGAGACTGAAAAAAATGTAAACCTGCTCATGAAATTCTGCTCTAATGACAAAACAAGAAACATATTTGAATAATTTACAGAATATTTCAATAGCTGAATAAGGTTTTTACAGTTACGCTTTTCTGCGAGACGTTACTGAGAACTGGACCTCTGATTCTTTACAGCACAGACGGCCTGCGTTACCTTTATGGTCCTTGAGACTGCGGGTTTCCAAGGCACCAGTGGAGCCAGTATCTGATTCCACATCGTCCACAGAAGGACGCTCTGATACGTCAGAGGGCGTGGTTTCATCTGGGTCATGGTGACGCCCTGACCCGTAATGGTTGCCGTGCATGGCTGCGTCCATGGCTGCAGCGTAGCCACTTGATAATGCACAGTTATCTTCAGAGAGTGGAACCTGAAGCAGAGAAATAGATGTCACTACTGAAATTACACGCCATTACCCCGTATATGACGATTAAATTCAAATATACACGATTATCAGCACACTTTCTTTTAGTGAGGTTGTCGAGCGCTCCTGACACGTTTTCAAAGATTCTCGGGCAAAAATCAGGTCAGAAGATTCTCATTCTTCTGTAAAGTGGTCCAGTGGGGGGGCTGTGGACTAAATTTAGATCACACTCATTCTGCCCGGCTCCTCGTTGTATTTTACAGTAGATTCCCAGTAGCAGTCGCAGCAGTTATTAAGGCTTACAGCTAATTTAATATAAAGACTGAAGGTTGGACTATTTCCTATCAATCATTATACAGGTAACTGATAACCACAAAATAGACGAAGTTTTCAAATCAAACTCAAAGCACGTGTCTAGAAAGACAGCCTTTTCACTCTCTGACCTTTGACACGCCCGAGATGATTAGCGTGCTCCTTTTCGTCGGTGTCTTCCGTGCTGCTCTGGACGCAGACTCTGTCAGCTGCCGTATGGCGGTTTCTGCAACAGGATCCAGGCCATTAGAGAGGCGGCTGCTCTCTGAGCAACAAAAACACAAATATGTAAATCAGCACTATACTAGCAGACCACCATGTACTATTTTTATTAAAATATATTGCTGAATTAACTGCTGTTGCACTACGTATAAGTTTGTGCTTATCTTTTATCTGTTTATCTGTTTTGTGTCAGCGATTAGCTTCCCGGTGCACCAAAAACAGCACGTAACTCCAGCCCG